ACAAAGATATTCACAAAAAAAACTCCCATTAGATACAAAAAAAAGCTTCAAAATTTTGCCCCATATTGCAAAGAAGCTACAAAATGGGTTAACATAAATAAGGTTAAGTGCGCATTTGGGAGGGCATACACTAAGAATGGGAATCACCCCTCCTTTGGAAGGAATAACTACTGCGCCAGAGACCTTATCCGCTTTTTTCCGATTTGCCAATTTCTTCCATTAAGGACTGTCTCTGTTGTTCAGACAAATTTTCAAACTCCTTTTTGGAAATAATATTTCTGTTGCCCCTGTCCGAGATATGCATCATGTTGAAAAAAGGAGGGCCATGCTGTTCCAAGCTTTTGTACAAACCACAGTTAATAATTTTTACGTTATACATGGGATTTCCTAACTTGGTTCCCACATTTTCAATCATCCGAATTATATCCATCCCTTTCAAAACAGTGCCAATAACTACATTGTGCTTGTGTAATATTGGCATTGGGGAAAAGGTTATAATAAACTGAGAAGAGTTGCTATGTGGGCCTTCATTAAACAATGCCACGTCACCGTCTTGTACAAATTCCATGTCGAAATTTTCATCAGGGAATTTCTTGCCATAAATACTTAGGCCTTCCTTATCGTTTAACACATTTCCTCCTACTAGCCCAATTCCTGGGTAAATTTTATGAATGAAGGTGTTTCTGTATCCAATATATTTGTCTTTAACTTTGTACCCCTCTGCAAGTTGAATAAAATTTTCAACTGATAGAGGTACTTGGTCAGAGTATAACCCTATCAAGACTCTTCCTATATATTTATTTTCTATAGCTATGTCAAAAAACACGTAATCTTTTATCGATTTATTGTAGTACACCTGTTTTTCTCTTGCCTTTCTTCTTTCATTGTAATTCCAGAGGGGTGGGAAAAGAACTGAAAAGCCGATTGCGAATTTCCAAGACGTGTTCAGATTATCCCACCACTGGAAACACCTTCTTCCTATTATTTTCGTTGCCGTGAAGCCTTTGTTAAGCATGTTCGAAACGGAGAAATTGGCGAAAGCTGGGGAGGCACTACTTCTAACGCATGTCTCGTTTGGACTATTTTTATTGTGAGGTCCGTTTTCCGCTAAGCAGGATGGGGGGATGTCAACTTGAATGACGGCCTAAACAGGCATGGGAAAATCGTGTATGATTCTATTTATAATATTCACCCTGTGCAGGGTTCTAAACTTTTTCTTCATCTGTTCTTTCACCTCGCATGTATGATGTGCTTCCCATTCCAGGCGGAGTTTTCGTTCATCGTTAAAGGGGGTATTCGCAAGCTTAGCATTACTTTAACGTA